GGAGTTTATGTTACTTTTTAATTATTATTGATTAACATCTTGCTTGTCACTATCAAATACACTCAGCAATTCAAAGCGAAAAACATCATTTCTTGAGGAAAAGAGAGATGGTCCACTTAGCATGTTCCCAAGAGATTACATGGGACAGTCACTTGTGCTAACACCAAACCACCCCGAGACCGGAAAGACATTTTGGATCATATATTCCTACGACAAACTCTGTCTTCTCCTTCCTTTTCCAAAGAACTTATTTTCTTTATAGTTGGTGCTAGTGTACTATTTTCATTGCCTGATCAGCTCCAGTCCTAGGAGTATAAACATAAAACAAGACTCTCGTTCTCTCAGAATCATTATTAGTTGTAAGAAACTGGAGAGAACAAAATCCATCAAATAAAGAGAATTTTTATAGAGTACAGTTTGCTGTCACTATCCCTACCATAAAAGAAAGTCCCTGATACAAAGAAAGCAGGAGCTTAGAGAACGCACTCACCTTGCTGAAGAAGCTGGAGATGTTCCTTTGTACCTCCTCCTCCTGACACCCTGGGGCTGACTTTGGCGAGCAATCTGTAAACACACACATATGTAGATAGGGTGTTACCTCATTTGGGTGCTGGCATTATTAAAAGAAACCCCTATGCCATCTGCTGGAAGAAATCTTATTCTGAGGCAACGTGCCGTACCAGCACATCTGACAGCACACTGTTGGCAGCCTAAAGAGGCAGGATTTTTCAAGATTAAGCTTTACCAGGTTAATGCACCAACTTCCAGCACAGACACACAGGACACACAGAAAGCCAGGGTCAGGAGGAGCGAAACAAAAGCAGGAGGAAGTCATAAGAAACTACAAGCCTTTAGACCTGTGTCACATGGCAAAGCATATGACAGTCTGGCAGCAAAAAGCAGCTCATTTTCAAATCCTACTACTTGACTTGAACCTCCAAAGACCTCTTTTGTTTCCTTCCATTGTTTTATTTTAGCTACACACATCACACCATGCTTACAGCGTCACTCTGGTGGAACCCTCTGGGTAATGGCGTATCAATCAAAAATGTATACTTTTTCCTATGAAAACTATTGTGTAATCTTCTCTTCAGAAGGTAAGGGAAAGTGAAGAAGGGGCAGTATTTGTAACTAGACACAGAAGAATCTGAAAAGAAACAGCTTCTTTACAGCAGCTGTGGCAGATCCCATTCAGAATTAGAGCCTGATTATTTCTGTTTAACAATAATTGGTTTCTCTCTTGACAATGTCTTCAAATAAATAAAAACAAGTTTCCGAATGCAGGAAGAAATGGGGAATTACTACTTAGTCCCTAAATCTGCTCCTCCCCATTTGTTATTTCTTGTCACATGGATCTTAACAAAATTTTCAGTCTCCAACCTTTGGGATTAATCTACAGGAAAGCTCTTTTCTGCCAACTGTATTTTTCAGGTTACGAACACAATAATCACACTCAAAAGGCGAACTGCACTTTAAAGACATATTGCTAAGCATTAAGTGAATAATTCTCAATTTACTTTCAGATTGAAAAACCTCCACAAGTTTACAAGGCAGGCAGCTATTCTTGACATTTCACAACAAGCAGGTGCACAGGAATTCAGCATCCACCTCTCAGTAGCAGTCTTTAGCTTTCTCTACCCAACACTCAGCACCAACAACTCCTTTAAAATCACCAGCAGCATTTGGATATAACACTTCTGGCCATCCGACTACAGGTAATCATAGTCTCAGGCACATGACAGAAAAATCAGCTTGCCAAAATGCCACGCACTGCCCCATGTGTTACGAGTACAGCTCCATCTAATTCTAAAGTGGACCCAACTACCCGCTGCCATCAAAACAGTTGGTCTGCTCTCTCTTTATACCCCCAGCAACAAAACTCTACTGATGGCCTTGTATTGGATCACAGGAGCCAGTTTGATTAGATCTCATTTATCCAATGGAGAAACACACTTGCCATTAGATTTTCTTGGAATCAAAAAAGCTGACTCAGATTGCAAATTGCTATAACCAACACTATGGAAGGGGAAAACATACTAAATATACAACTAGACTATTAAATAAGCACAGGGGGTGGAAAGCAAGAGTGCTTCTACAGCAGCTGGCTATTCTTATATCAAAATAAAGCATAATACAAAATGATGCTATTCACCTGTAGCCCACATAGAAAAAACCATACATATGCTTCAGTGATCATGGTTCAAATGGACAGACTGTGGCTCAGCTACAGCACAATAACCCATGAATTTGACTCAGACTCTTAGTGTTCTTCAAAGATGGGCAGCCAAAACTCAGCCCACCTAAAAAGCTGCTTCTGAAAACACTTCCCTCAATGAAAGAAACAGAGCATCTGCACAGATGGAATAAAACTGGAGACTTGCTTCCTCATTCTGTCTGTAAGAATCTATCACTTTATTTCTATAAGCATTATAACTTGCATCTTCATCTTTTGACAGGCCAGCACCTCTACATAGAAGTACATTGAGGGAAAAAAATATAAATACTTCATGATCAAGCTTACTTTTATGCATCATCTGGACATTTGGGCTCCTAAATTTGCCCTACTGCTTCCCAGGAGTCCCCCAGTTACTTCCTAAGAATTATCTCCTAACCACCCATTACTGTCTAAGAATTCCGTGTGCTGCTTCCCGGCAATCCCTACACGGCTGCCTAGGACTGCACCTCCCCACAATTCCTGCCTTCCCAGGAAAACCCCAACACTACCTTCTAGGATTCCCCTCAGTTTTGTAGGGATTCCCCTGCCCCTCCAAATCCCTCTGGGTTTCCAGGAATTCATTCTGCTGCTTTCTAGGACCACTATGGATCACTCCCCCTTCAGTTTCAAGGAATTGCATTTTCTTTCCAGGATTTCTCCCTTTTCTGTTTCATAATTAATATGAGTTGCTTGTACAGTACTAGGAAAAGTACAATAATCCTCTCTGCTATTTTTCTGCTTATGCCATTAAGACCTCTAGCAAGACGTGGGGCTGTGCTTCAGAAACAGTGTAACAAAAGTTCATAAAATCAACAGATACTCCAAGGTGATTGTTCATGTGCATTTCAGTCTTTCCAAAACTGACTCTAGAACATTCATTGTTGCAAAATAATCAATTTCGTAATTTGAACACATTGTGCTACCCCACTAGAGATAGGCAAGTATTACATTGGTTCCTCAAGGAACAATGCTGGAGTCCATTGGCTTATTGATCTTGAAACGAAAGACAGTAGAAATGTCAAACACACAAAATTATTTCTTCAAGTTTCATGAAGGTGTCAGCCAGAATGAAGAAAATAAAACAAACAAACAAAAAACCCCAGAAGTGCAACCACCAGCGACAAAGCCCTTAATTCTCTGGTGAAAACAAAAAAGGACTGGTGCTAGTGGTGTATGTAGAAGTTCATGAGAACAATTGAGACAACAAACAGACAATGTAGTGAGATTTATCTGCTATACAACTTTGAGATCCAATGTAAGTCCTGATCTTCTAATGAATGAGAGTCCCTACCCCACACAAAAAGTTGTCTACTTTTTCCTAGAATGTTTCCTGAAAATCCAGAACTGCTGGAGGCAGCCTCCTAAAGCTGCTGTTAAAAAAGAAGGTAATTAAACATCACTTTTTTTCAAGATTATTTCCATGGTAACTTCATCTCTAATAGACACATCTACAAGTCTAGGTGAGAAATGCAGAACTACATATTCAACCTAAACTGTTACTCCAGAATATAATACTGTAAAAACAGAAAGGAACAGGGTGTTTAACAAACTGCAAAATGTTTTGACTCAAAGTGTTGTACAGCAGATGGAGCTAAAAGTATGGTCTATGAATAGCCACCTACACATGAGAACACAGAGAGATAATAAATATACATAATGTGTCCCATCAAGTGATTATCTTAAACAACTTTTCTTTCTACTGCAAACTGACACACAGAAGTTCACTTTTGTGAACAAAAGTTTGCAACAAAGCAGCTTTCCAAGTTTCACATCAACAAAGATTGAAAAGAAATAAATGTAATCAGCTTGCAATGCTCATTCGAATGTCAAATGTCCCACTGAAGTTCAAGTTCTTCTTTTGACCAGTATCTTCAACTATGTCATCCGTGTTCCTCTTAAGAGGAAAGCAGGACAGGGATGCCTGCCATCTTCATCTGAAGTGTGGGATGGACAAGAGTGAGAAACAACATGTGTTAATTTACCATACACCAGTGACAAAAGTGAAAATCAGTTTGTTTCAAACAAGATTCCTCCTGGAAGATCATGTGTCCATCCATTACCACACTTCCCAACAAAGCTGTGACACTCCTCTCCTTTATCAGAAATAAGTGCACTGCAGGAGTTCCACAGGCTCCCCTCCACCTCCTCTCTCCCCAAACAATCCATCTGGCTGCCAACTGGACTATGCCAACCAGATCCAGAAGGGCTCCCAAGTGCAGAATCACATTATTTAGCAGAGGAGAAAGTCAGTTTTTCAAATGAAACCTTTCCAATCTCAGCTCCACAGCAGACTAGAAACATTAATAAATTATAGATTAAGCACCCACCTTCTCTTCCTTCCCCTTCACAGAAATAAAGGACTGGCAGAAATAGAAATATTTACAATTTCCCCTTTTTTTCCTGCTAGCTATTAGGTGATCAAAAAGAAGTATATGAATAGGCCAGCAGAGTTCCTAAGGGTCTTACAATGAAACATGCAAACTCTTTCCCAGTAGCTCACAAATCCAAGACCATCCAACCTGATGCTGAATCAATTGACTTTTCTGTAAGTTGCATGAACTGAAAGCCTCACGCAATTTACACTGGGCTGTTGAATACATGCTAACATCTTGTCCCTCTCATAATCACATTTTCTCTCATCTGGCTAAAAAATCATGGCAAATTATGTCTAACGCACAGCAAAAAACCTGGGTATAAGACAGAACTGCCAAAAAAAGTCCAAGAACATTACCTGTTACAATTTTTCAAAATTTAGATACATCACCACACGAGCACAGTGTTTTTTAAATTATGCTTTATTAGGAATAAATCCTTCTTGATTACATAAACACAGACAATGTGCTCAATGCATTATCATTTTAGGCACCAACTTCATTTCCAATCATAATCTGTATGCCCAAGACTAAACAATTCCCCAATTTTCATCATCTTAATAAACAATGAACTGCTAAAGGTGTAAATTTGCATGATGACTTCTGAAAACAATGACATGTAGGACATACTTAAAGTATGATTAAAGTCAAAATTGAGAAGGTGGCATCCATACTTAATATCCTTAAGTAGCAGTGGACAATTCTCTGGCAAGACGGGCTATATTATCTCTTATTAACACCACAAAGCTAAGGCCTTGGAAGACTCTTGTGATTTTCATGTTCTAAGAATTGTTGCCTACTTTTGACTATTTCTTGTCATTAGTGAAAAGGGTCACATCAAATTTGCATTGGCCTTTAGATCTTAGTCACTGAACCCTCAAAGCTGTTCCTTCCCTTCAACAGAAAGATTAACGTTTCTTTAGGAGGAAGACGTTCAGAAGTCCCGCGCAAGTAAAAATCCTCTCTAACCGCACACGCTATTTCATATCAGTTCAAATTCATTTCTTGCTTACAGCCTTCAAAAAATAACTACTTATATAAGCAGCTAATTCAAAAACAGTTGTTTTCAGTGAATCTACCAAAGTTAATAACATTACAAAACAAATGAATAACACTATTTTGGGAATCTCTGGGTTAAATTACAGTTTATTATCTCTGAAGTTCAAATGAGGTTGTGAGAAAGCAGTTCTGTATTAATTCAGGCAGATAGATGCTAACAGAACGTAATTTTTACTTTGACTATACTCACAGCCAAAGGCCATTACTGTCTAATGACCTTTCATCTCATTAACGAAACGAAAAACATACATCTCCATACACTTAAGCAGGTTACAAAATAACTGACCCAAATCAACTGAACTAAGCCAAATGTAAAACAGACTTTCTGGAAGTGAGGCAGGCGGTTCTAATGTAACGTACGCACCCTCCCACGACTCTCAGGCCAGAACAGCTTCATCACAGACTCTGTCACAATGCTAGAGAACCCAGCAGGCACAAGAACTTCTGTGACCGCGTACATACGACGAGTGATACAAACGTAATAGTACACATCAAATTTATAACAAGTACGAACAAATTCTTGGTTTCATTAATAAGACAGGAGAGATTTGTTCAATATGTTGCCCTTTAATCCAAAAGCTAAGATACTGAAGGCTCCACTGGTATGGGCAACACATTCTCGGTCTCCTCCTTCTCCCTAGCCTCACATACACATTGAGAGCAGAATTCCAAACACTGGAAGAGCAGTAGCATAGCGCTTCACGTGGTACCCTTCCAACCTCAACCTGGCAAGGACAGAATAGCTTGAACTTCCAGCAGGACAATACAGCTCCAAGACCCCTATGGAGTATTTTTAGAGGGTCAAACAAAATACATCTCATCTCCTTTCAGTTCAGACAGTAGCCCTAAACTAAAATGATTTGGATAGGATAAACTGAAAATTAAGGACTAAGTTCCATAAACAGATTGCTTAAAGAAAAGTCCATGAAAGACAAACAGGGCTTGCTCAGAACACAGTTTCAGTAACATCCATAAATATAAATAATGTGGAAATAGGATGAGACTAAGAACAGCATCCATGTTCAGAAAACTAAAAAGGAAAATGCATGACATCTGCAAATCAGCCACAGGGAAAAGGTTAAAATGCCTCTTTGTCAGAGTTTAAAACCTAAGTCATCAATCCCGAAGAGCAAGTCACCGTGACACTGTCACCATCTGGCATCCTGCACGTACTCTGAAGATCAACCTTAAACAGTTTTGTAAAATAAACATCAGGGAAACCATGTCCTAAGTGCCAAACCCAAAATTTACTGAAGTAAAGCACATCTGCATAGCAATTCTTTCTGAGAACACTGTTCCACCAGGAAAATACTTTTCTTGGGATGAAAATCCATTTTTAATAAAACATCAAAAAAGCCTTCATCCTTACATAATCATCTTCTATTTTCTCATGTCCCTGTCACGTTAGCTGTTCGGCAATGATCTTCCACAATTCCTGTAGTGGAAAAAATACATACAGGTATTTTCTCAGATCAGTAGGTTGCAATTATAAAAAAGTTCAACATGCCCACTTGAAGACAAGTTTTAAGACACACCCTATACCTCCATCTACAGATAGTGAATGCATCAATGTAATCTGCTAGAACAAACATCGAATTTTCTCTGAGAGCAATAGAATTGATTTCTTTATTCTTTTAGCATGACTTTTTAAAATAAAAAAATATTATCATTCAAATAACTTGTTTTAAAATAATTTCATTGGTCTGCATGACCTTCTGCAGTATTCTGATTGATAATCTTGCTCTTTTTCTTAGCCTTTGTTGACAAATGCTTTCAATAACACTGGTAAAAATACAACTGAAAAAATACTTAATTTACTGAGGAATCAAGCTCTCACAAATATACGTCTTATACAAACACACAGGTGCTTCTCTATCTACTGGACAATGAGTAAGAAAAGCAGACCACTTTATTTCTATACAGCAAGTTAGTATAGACTTTGTCTGCTATACAAAAGATTAGTAAGTAGACTATCACGCACTCTTCACCATGAATTGTGGCAATATACTTAATGATAAATAAAAACTTTGGCATTTTGAAAATGCATATATTTCAAGGACCAGTACCCTTCTGCAAAAAGGCTAGGGAACAAGTTCACACATTTAGGTATAATCCAGGTTCCATACTTGTAAAACTTGTTTTAAAGTTTTGCATGCCTGTTTTATGCCTGAAGGTATCAGCATTAAGTAAAATAAATCAATCTCATGAAGTAACTGTGCCCTCCTAAATCTTACTAGCCATACACACTACAGAAGTCACAGCAGTAGTATATTGACTACAGGAACACCATTTCTTGGTAAAAGATTTGCAACCCAGTACAACATTTGCAAGTTCTTTAAAAAGATCTGTTAAACTGTATTGTTCTAGAAGTTAGCGAGCTATTAGCTACCCTGCACAATATTTGCAAGAGCAGACAATTGGGAAAAAAAAAAAAATGGAGAAAGAGAACCATTAGTGCTTGGGAGGTAATTAGATAACTCAAAATTATCTCTGACATGTTTATACACAACAGCAGTTTACAGCTAAATGACTCTTCATAGATACTAGAATATTATTTCCTGAACCCTGAACTGGGAAAGGAATTACTAAAACTATGAAATGAAAGCTCTTTACAAGCAAATAAATGAGAAGAAGTATTGTCCCCATTTTCTAGTCAATCACAAAAATCCTGTTTTACAAAGTTAACAGATGCTGGACTCATTTCCTCAAAGGTTAAGAAACAATCTAAGCCATTGTCCTGCTGATGCTAGAAAAAGGCATGTTATGTCAACCTAGTACAGGTTATGAAAGCACAAACAAGAATAATTTTAAAGCAACAAAATGCTAAATGGAAATAAATGAAAAGGTAATGTTTATTCCCGTGTTCTTACTTCATGTTAAGTAAACAGCCAAAAACTAATTTGAGATGATTAGCCCAACATACTACACTTACTTTAACCAATGCACTTACCAACTGCTCAATTCGTTCATAAACAAGAAACTGACAGAAATCAAGCTTAATGGGCTCCACAGTATATTTCATTTTTCTGTCTTGGAGGTTCTCCAAATCATTTAGAGTATTTCTAAAATGACTGTAGGCTTCACATGTAACATCCATATGTCTTAAAGTGAAGTTCAGCCTGGCAAGAGAATATTTAATTTTAAATGTCTCTCCTGTACTGGATCTTAAATAGTTTTGTAACTTTCCTCAGCTAATAGAAAATGTGTGTCTTCTCAGTGTAATTAAGTAACTTTGATAGCTAAAGAAAAAAGTAAACCCCCTCCCCACTATTCCTGAAAAGCAGAGGAGACTTACATTAGCATCAATACACCAATAACTCTTGTATGAATCTTTCCATTGATTTTAAGGCACTTTGCCACAACACAATTATTGGCTTGGCTTCCAGGACAAACACTTGGCAACAAATCATATTAATAGCTATTGCTTAGATATCTCCAGAGATTTAAGCAAAGCCTATTTATATATTAGTTTATGAATGGACTGTGACACATGACTACGTAAAAACATTCAACGAAATGAAAGAAAACACAAGAGAAATTGTTCTAGAGGTACTCAACCTGGGAAACATATACCCTAATGGTAAGCCACTTCACTCCACCCAATGACCTCAAAAATACATAGCAAGTGTTGTCAGGCACTATAGAATACACCAGCCTAATCACCTAAGTATCCTTATTTGCACAGACATTATCTGATGTGAGACAAAAGGTAGGACAACAAAAGCTGAACTCTTGTGGAAGTCAAATTCTGAACTGATAAAAATTAAGCATGTATAAAACCAAATTCTTGTTCTGAGTATATACTGCAGCCTATGATAAACTAATATGATGAAAATCAGAAGCCAATCTTCAATCAAATCAGATGTTTCTTCTACGTAAAGAAAGTATGTTATGTTTTTCATGCTTTTAAGTTATTGGTAATACTTACCTCTTTTCTAATGCTAGGTAAACTGTGCAAGAATTTCTCAAGTTGTGTGTGATTCTGTACAGCATTCTGAAAAAGGCATCTGTCAGGTCATCGTCATAGAACACTACAAAAAAAAGATTAAAAGCATAAAATATATATGTTTAAGTGTATTATCTACTTAAATCTCAGATATGAAGCAACCACAGGCCTTGGCTTGATTATTCTAATCAAATAAGTTACTATTTTAACTAAATCCCAAAGCATATTTTTAATGGCAACACCTGACCCATGTAACAGTATCCACTGCTGCTATTTATGTCAGGTTTTCTTTAAGATTTCTCTTGTATCAGTGGGAATCAATTCTGTCAGACAACTTACAAAACTTTAACAAGATTTCTTTCAGCCTGGAAATATCTTACTGCAAAGCCAAAAAAGACAGGACATCACAACGTATAGGGCCTCATTTCTTACAAAAATACAAAGAAAAAGGCGGTAACTAATATACCATAATAACCACATCTCCTTGGAGAACACTCTTGCAACACCTTTCAGTATCATAAAACCAACTCTCCTTCATTTATGTATCAAAACAACAATGGTTTTCCTATATAGATAGCCTGTCATTTTTCAGTCTTTCATTTAAGCAACAAAAAGAGCAGAAAAAAAAAAAAAGAGACAGAGATATCCAAAGGCATAGACTCTATGGGCAAGTGCAGCATCTGAAGCTACCTTTGTCTTGCATCAGATAACCAAACTCTTCTGAAAGTCAAATTAATCACTGACTTCTGATTATGTTCTCTGAGTCATTTATTTAGTCACAAATAATTACCACACCAAAGGAAAGAAAAAGCTAGTAGTTTTCAACAGCTGTTCTCCTATTGCTAATTCAGAATGTGAATATAATTGCTTAAAAAAACCCCAAAAATAATTACAGGCAGGGACACTTAAGGCAGAGCTTTGACAAACTAGGTAAGATCTGACCTAGTAGATTTTAAAAACAAATTAGGTATGTTTAAATTATTACTCATAATGCTCAAGTGCTTGATTTTAAAGCTTACTGTTTATATTTTCCTACCATCAGCTGCCATTATCACAGTACAGTGGTCATGCAAATCAGCAATCTCTTCTTCAGACCAGCTATAAGGAGCTTCAGGATCTGTAACAAAAAAAAAAAATACAGCTTTGGTGCACATGATTAAATGTTTCGAGTGATTGACACCTGGAAAAAAGAAACTTCCTAACTCCTGTGGTCATCTGCTACTCCATAAATGGAGCACCCCACTGAAGGGAAATCAAAACCTCCTTCTATTCAGTCTCTGAAGTTCCCTGCAGTCCTTTGCTTCTCTGTGTTATGTTCAATCCTCCCAAGGCTGACAAGTTTTCTTTGACTTTAGAACTTACAACAAATTACTACCCTATAACAAGATCACAGATTTAATTAGATTAAAATAAATACTCTGTTAAATAAAAAAAAAACCACAAACGCATCTTCATATAAATTTTAATTAAGCTTCTTACTTCATCATGCTTTAAAAAATTTACTTCGTTAAAATATAGAAACTTTCTCTGAATGTCCAAAATACATAAAGCCTTTTCAAATCATATTATCGAATATTTTCATTACCCATTTTTTTTCAGGTCCAAGAGAGGCTCTTGAATGTGTAAAGGATGTTTCCACTTCCTTAAACAGTTGCTCTACTTTTCAGAAGCATTCCAGCAAATGCAACTGATGATAAAAAATTCTATAAAGTAGACCTCATCTAACCTAGTGCTACAATTTTGTGTTGACCTTGCAGTCACCAGAAAGTGAAACTTACATTGCCTGGATTCCATTATTACCACGTAACAGCCACATCTCATTTGCACTTCTAGATTTTGACCTAAGTAAGGGACAGACACTACTTGGCTATTCTCAACCTATCAGTAAACCCTTCCTTACTCATTCACATGGCAATGATGCTCCCAAGGACAACACTGTACTTTCAACCATTTTTCCAGAGACATATGTGCTGGAGGACCTACTTCCTAACAGAATAAGCTTTTCTTGATGACTCTAAAGAGGAAAAAAACCCAAAAGAGACCACCGAACCCTATCTGAAAGGACTCATAACCACCTACCAGTGCAGAATTCATCTTTCAGCCAATCCAGTTCTTTTACTTTAACTTCCCCTCCTGTAGGTGAAGAAAGATCACATCAGTCACAAATGGCCTTTCAGACAGTACCTAAGCAAAAGTAAACAGTCAAAACCCATACTGAAATAAGTGAAGTTGAACATCAAGTCATTTACTGTTCAAAAACAGTTACCCACTCACAAGAGAACAGGATGAACTTAAGGGTCAGAAAGACAACCTACATTCTCTTCTACATGTCTCACCTGCAAAACACTTCTCCCTTCCAGAGTGCTACCTCTGTCATTTATACTCTGTTTATGTAACCCTTGGCACCTGGGTATCCGTGATCCTCCCAAGTACCTCAGTGAAAGTCACATAACAACTGTGTGGGAACTACAGCTGGTCTTAAATGGTAAGCAAAGAAAGTATTTTGCTCTTCTCAAAGGGAAGCTGTCCCATTACAGACCACATACAAATATCTTGCATCTTTCTTTTTAAATGAGTCATTTTTAACCAAGACAAAATTTTGATTTTACTTGTGAATATGTGAGGTAGTCAATGACTGTGCTGTTTAATCCAAAGTAGTACATATTCAGGCAACTGCACAAACACTGACTGTATAGTACTTACTTCCCAGCTCCATCAGATGTTTGTTTAATGCAACATTTTGCTCACACATGGCCAGAAGATCTTCACCAACATCTGGAAAAAAGTGATAATTCTATTCAAAATAAGAATATTTTGCATGGGCCATGCATGACCTTGACCTCTCAGCCTAATGCTCTAAGCTAAGCTTCTCTCAAACTAACAAGATTAAGATAAATTCAGAGCAACATTATCCACTGATGACTGCTTTCCTAGTATCCTTCTTGTTTTTGTCTTTCAGTATGAAGCTCCGAGACACCCTTGAAGAATGAAGTAAGATCCCTGCAGTAGTTCTTTTAATCTAGACACACTATCTTGAGTTCAGAGTAATGTATCTTGCTTTTAAAGTCTTGCACTTAAAACTAGTAGTTTTTTCAATCTGTTGAGAAAGTTCTTGTTATTTTTCAATATACAACACAACTTTCTACATACTGATAAAAAAATTGACAGCTAAAACGGAACAGATAAGGATGAAAATGCCAGGATGAAAGCGCTGCTTTGTGCAGTCTCATGAAAATGCTTAATTGGAAATAACTGCTTTACCTGTGCAATAAACTCTCTTGGCAACTGTTCCCATGATAATGCTTGTAATACCAGTGCCACCTCCAAGCTCCAGCACCGAGCAACACCTGAACGTGTCCCGCTTGAACAGAATGTAATCAGCAAGAAGAAAGGCTGCACGCCAGACCTGGGGATAAGAGAAGCAGTTAAAACTGAGTCAATTCTGAAGCACAACACAGGAACAGCAGGATACTACAAGGCAGAATACATACTTGTTTACCGACATCTTCTAAGGGGGTGGCCATAGTATGTTCTGTGAAAATGGAAGTAGAGCAAAAGTCATTACCTCAAAACTTTGTTCAAATCAAGTTCCATAGTGGCAAATTTAAAAATCAAGTCATGCTTCCCTTTCAAATATAGAACTAAACACGCTTCATTCTATATAATAATGCTAGATAATGCAGAAAACACCACTAACAAAGTGGTATAGAGTTTTCCATGGTATACTATTGCCCAAATCACTTCTGGAGAAAAATGGTAAATTTTAAAAATATTTACAATATCACAGTATTATGTTTGTTTTATTATCTCCCTTCACTTAACAACTGCTGTTCCATTTCTAAAGAAAATCTATTTTTGTTTTACACAAACATATTTATTTATAGACCATAAGCCTGCTATTTACCTATTTTAACAACATCAGTGCAAGTGCATTCTTGTTCTTCATCTTCAAAAGCATCATCTTTCCCTTTCATCAGAATTACAGGATACACTCTATCCCTCAAAAGATCCTCCGCTTCTAAATCAGAATCTCTTCGAGGTCTTCTAACTACGTCCAAGTCTCCGTCATCATCTAGCAGAGCTTCTACTCCTTCACTGTTTAATTCTTTTTTTAGATTATTCCTGTCCTGGTCACACAGTTCATCTTCACTGCCGTACTGGTGTTCTCTTTCTGTTGTAGCTTCTCTCACATGTTTCTCAGATGGGGAATCTTCTGTGTTCCTAAGGATTTTGAAATACGACAGGAACACTGTACGAACGTGGAGAGGGGAAAAAAGTTAAACACCAGGTAAGAATAGAATCTATGCGCAGCTTCCACACACATGAAGTCTTGGTACGCGTGTCACATATTAACAATATAGAGGATAAAAAATTATGCAGATAACTTGAAATATAATTCAATTTGGTACAAAGAAATATTTCTGCTATTAAGTTCTGTCAGTAGAAATAAATGAAGCACTTTCACGGTCAGCCAGCTGACTCAGTATCTACTCAGTCACAATGCACACTTTCATCTGATTTAGTAACACAAATTATGGAGTTCTATTACAGTTTCTTTAGAAAGCAAGAGATTCAAACTTGGTCTACTGTAACCTGACAAAAGTTCTTCCCTAGAGATCATTTTCACCTAGATCTAATAAAATCTTCATTGCCTATCCTAGCATGAGAAATTTTTTAAGTCATCTACTGCTTGCATGATAACCAGATTAACTGATTTGAATATTTAACAATTTAAAGGACATCATCAATGAATGAAGTGCTTTTGTTCTCCAAGTCCACTCTGACCCCTTGCATGTCCTGTAGCATTTTAAAAGGTGTAAGGTAAAATTGACCCAAAGCAGCAGAAACTAAATCCCCATGAGGTTCCCTGAAAACCAGCAAAGTGACAGTGGGAGATTGTCGTTGTATTTGTTAGAGTAAAAGCTGTCATACTACAATCCAATTCTTGTCTTAATAAATAATTTCCCAAACCAAGTACATTCAGAGTAGGCAGCATATGCTGTCATTTCATTCTGTTGAAACGTACTTTGCATTAAGCAAAATCACAGCAAACAAACGTCAAACAGCATGAAGACACACCACAGCATTAATTAAGCAAGTTAATTTGGTTACTTCTCAGAAAGTAACTTAAAATTTCTGTTTTTAAGATAGGCTGTATATAAAGTTAACTTCATTAAGAGAATCCAGCTAGCCATTTTCCTAAAGACTGAGTAGGAAGTGATGCTGCTTCTAACTGGAATAAAATATGTAATGATTAATATCAACCATTCAAAGGAGGATTCAGACATTACAGAGATATGAATACTCTTAAAATAGAGCTCCATCAGTCTAAATATACATTACCTGGTTGTCCAACTGCATTCAATCGTACCATAAGATGTCTTTTGTTCGGACAGTGCAAGTGAACATCAGAAAGCACAGTGTCACTTTTAAATGTGCAGTTATCCATTTCCTCCTCTGCTACATCTACCATGATGTACTGGTGACAGGAACATCTACAGCACCCAAACAGTCCCCTATGAAGTGCTGTCACAAAGTGATTTGATACTTTTCCATTAACAGGCATCAAATAACAGTTTTGCTCAACAAGATAACCTCATGACATAGTTTCTGAGAAGACCTCAGGCAAGATGTGGCCATGCAAGCTCCACCATGCTCCAATAAGACAGCAAACGGTGCATCAGGATATCCAACCTAAAAGCAAACACAGAAAGCTTTGAGTCATCCTGACACTGTTTGAACGCTGCTCCAGCAATATTTTAGAAGATAAAAATCAGATTACATGGTCCAATAAAACTGCAATGCTCCAGTGCTCTCTTTTACAATGCTCCAAAGAATCATCAAATACATAATTGCTAGTAGCTCACTGGCAGATATCACATATATTAGAAAGAGCTACAAATTACATTGTGTTCAAAACAACACACCACCCGCCCCCAGAAAAACCCCTGATGTTGTTATGAAGGCACAGACTTAGAATGTTAAGTCAAGATATTTAAAGGAAGATAAGGCCTTGTGTGCACAGCTTCACCATTTGAAGGGATCTTGTTCTTCAGAGGAATCTCTGAATTTTCTCAGAAATGCAAACAATTACCAAATGTATTATCATAGGTTAGTCCACAAAATTTTGTAAAAGGAATATCTCCCCCCGCCCCGCCCCGGAGAAAACTCTGCTCCTTTTAAATGCCTTCACTAATTGGGCAGTTAATATCTCTTGCCTTTGGCATTCTTTATTCTTCTCCAGAAAACAAACAAACACACCTGAAATCATCATTCAAGGCTGAGTTGTCTCTATGTCCTAAGGCACAAATTAATTCGTCTTATGAACAGAAAGAGGACACTTATTTCCCTGCACTCTCTAAAATTTTACGTTTTGTGAAGGGTATGTGAAACATTGATGAAGCATAGATCTTAAAGCAAAACTTATGTTTAAAAAACCTTATAAACTGAGGTGATGGGCTTGTATCACACCCACACAGATCACCAAGTGTTACACGAACAGTTTAGTTAATACACCAGCTATGAGCACTCCAATATACCCCTTTCGTAAAAACTGGGGATGCCATTTCCTATGTGGCCATTACCATCCTGAAAGATTAAACTAAATTTTCCATTATCTGCTTATACTTGAACAAGATTATCATAAACACACAGGCTTAAAACGCTTCGATTTACAGGCAGCTCTACAGTAACTGTAGTCATGAAGTTCTATTAACTTTTGCCCGGGCTGCAAACCTGCCCTTTGCCAGCCGCGATCTGTGCAGGAGCTACACGACGCCAAGCCACACACGGCGGCTCCTCCGCCACCCGCGGAGGGGACGAGGCAGCCCAGCGCGCTCGGGGTAAGGCCGGGAGCCATTCCGCGGGCAGGCCAGAGCCCGACGCCCGGAGGCTCGGCCTGCCCGCAGCCACAGCCGCCTCTCCCCGCGGAGCCACCGCCTCCCGCTCGGGCACCGCCGGCGCAGCCCCCGGCCCTGCCCACACCGGCAGCTTTCCCAACGAAGCCGCCCCTTTCTTCCTCCTCCTCCTCCCCGGGGCCAGAGCCCCTCAGCGCCCCCGCGCCGGGAGGATCGGCTCGGCGGGGCAGGGACGGCTGCGGGGAGAGGAGGAAGAGAGCACGAAGGAGCCGAGGCTCCACGACCCCCACCTGCCACCACACGGCGCCTCCCGCCGCCATTTTAGAGGCGACGGCCCCTTCCGGCGCGCCGCTGACGCCGCGCTGATGGACGGGCGGCCGCGCTGAGGGGAGGCCGGGCCGGCTCTCCGCCCTTGACCGCTGGGCTGGGGTCGTCCTGCCGCTGAAGCTGGGCAGGGTCCCGGCTGGACCCTGCCCTGCTCGCCTGCTGCTTTCCCGGGGCAGAGCCTGAAAGCCGTCCCCTTACGGCGCTCACGAGCTGTTACCCAGCACTGAACCCTGAGGTAAAAACCAGTCCAGCCGTCCCCTTACGGCGCTCACGAGGGTGCTGCGCTGTTACCCAGCACTGAACCCTGAGGTAAAAACCAGTCCGGCAGCCGGTAAAAGGAAACAGCAGCAACATCTAAGTTTAGTCTTGCCCCTGAAGCATCCACAGCAGCTGAACTCACATTTCTTACCCCAGTTCTTTTATTGCTTGGTTTCAGCGTCAGTTACCTTGACTCAGTTCATGTGTAATTCCGTGCAAATAGCTTCAAAACAACAACAACAAAAAAATAAATGGAAAAACCTGTATGGAGTCAAGTAGGAATTTTTTCCTTTAACCCAAATCATGTCAGAACTGTACAACCTCGAAAAGATCAGATGGATCAATAGCAGTATCTGCTCATTTCCTTGGGGAACAGGGCTACTTAATTTTGCAAAGTTCTTAACTAGATGCCATGAACCAGGTAAGATAAACAGAAAACTGAGTTGAGTGTTGAACAGGACCCCCATACCAGAGTGCTCCGAGAAACCTGAGTAACAGAAATTTATCTAACTAGCAGAGTTGGGTGGCCAGCAGGCCAGCAGGCTCCAGTCACCCTGTGTTGGATGTGGGTGCCTGAGGTGGCCCTGGCCCAGCTGAGCTATCCAGAGCCCAGCACTGGCCACTGGCCCGGCGCCGGACGGGCCCTGTGGCCCCAGCCCTGCTGCCCTGAGCCCACCGGCCACCCGCGGGCACAGCACGGCTCAGCCACTGGGCATGATGCTCTGCAGCCCCGTCTGGGCAAGTCACAGCCATGGCTACAGGCCAGGCTCCCCCTGCATTCCGGTTTGCTCCTCTGCAAGTCTGGAAAGGCTGCTGAAGTTGTTCCTATCTTTCAGCAGGAGGATCTGGTTCCAATGCGGGCATTTACATATTAATTACTTGTTATATGAAACTAATGCCAATTGCTACAGATGATCCTGGTATTTTTTTTGAGTGGATGCTTGTGGGGAAGGAAGAATTAAAAAATCAATGCTGGAAAAAAACTTGGAATGTAATGCATAGTATTTCTAGATGTCTTTCTCGTCATCTGCATCCTTCTATAAAGGCCGACAATTATCAAGAGAGTGAAGTAATCTATCCCTATTTTTACGGTCTAGAGTGTTGACTGCTAATGAAATAGAAAACGTAGCGAGCCATTCAGATCTCTCATTGGAGCTTCTATGGGGAATTCTATTGGATGAACATCTGAAAAAAGTACTTTGGAGATTTGTTTTCCTTTTTTTCTGGCTCCTGTAAAAGAGTGGAATATTATTTTACTCCCCATGGTGATACGCCACATAAATTATTACTGCAGTCTCTCTCTGCTGGCATATATTCCCCACTGCTATAAAGTGCTAACAACATGCAGACAAAGCAGATTATATTTTTCACAAAATCTTACCAGTTTGCAACAAGAGACACTTGCTGGTACACAGGCCATGCAGATTCAGTATTACTAGAGGAGTAGCTAAAAAGCGAGGTGTTGCATCGCACTACACAGGATCTTTTAAACACAAAGGTACATTAGATGAGAAATGGAGCTGCTATCATTTCTTTTCTAGAAGAAATTCTTCTCACATATATATAATTATTAGGCAAAGCAGGAATATCTTGTGGCTGCAGAAGATCTTAAAGGAGCCAGTGTGGCTGCAGACATTATAATGTGGGTGATAACTTAATGACAGTTGTTTAGGGACAATCTAGCTCTGAAGATGCAGTTTCTGTCCTAGAGACACAAGGGCTTTGGCAGCAAATCCCTGAGATCTGCCTCTGTTTTAAAGGCTTTAGGATGCACCTCAGTTATGTTTTGTGTCTTCTTCACAGCCGTGTGAGCTAGGAATTTGCTTAAAGAAAGCTACCCAAGAGTATCCAAGCTACCCAAGAGTATCCCTTAGTCACACCACACCAGGCATTAGGGGACTTAGAAGAAATGGCTGCTTCCCACACGATATTTGCCAAATCCTTTCACGGCCCAAAGGATATTGCTAGGACAATTCCTTACAGACTGCCTTCAAAAACACCAGCAATGCTGCAGGAGGCTCAGAGGAGAAAATTATACAGACAACCCTGAAAAATGTGTATCACAGGGAAAATCTAATTCCTTAGGAAGAGATAAGAGAACAGAGCTGATTCTCAGAAGTCAGGAATAAGCAGATGAATTAAACCACCATGTATGTGATGTTGTACTATGCAGTAGCATATTGCTGATAGCTGATGGTAACTTTCCTGTACACACTGTCTCTTTTCTTGCCGTCTTTTCTTTCATTATGTGTCTACCAGACAGAAGCATATTCTGTGCTTCCGTCAGGTCAGTAAAAAAATAAAACAAAAAACACACGGAAGGCTGTTAGGACGTAAAAAATGTATCAGCCCTCATCATTTCAATCCTACCATACTGGGGCTGTTGAAAGGAGATACGCTGAACTGGTTTTCACTTCATCTTGTTTACTGGTATACTGGTATGCAAAGTAACTGAGGCAAGTTCCATAAGCCATCAAGCAGCACTGACAAACATCAGGTAACACAGCAAATAAAAGGACTGTTGGACTAGATGATAAATCAGTACAGAATTTTGCTCTGCTCGCCAAGCATGTATGGCACCGCAGTGCTGGTCACCAGCTTGAAAATTCCGAAATAACTGCTTGAAGTTGAAAAGTGCATGAGAGGAATAACTTAAAAATAATTAAAAAGGGCAACTGCAGCTGTCAGCTTTTTTGTTTCCCCATTTCCTGAATATGCATTGGACCTTCCCAGGGGAAGCTAAGAATCATACTGCCTCACCAGCAGGAAAACTGAATCACAAAGCACTAACATTAGCAGCACAGAGCTAAAATCCACAGGGATTTCTTTTTCATTAACTATTTTATGGTGGTTTATCAGAGACATTTACACTCTCTGACTATAGCATTTTTCTCCATGGGCTTATTCAAAACAACAATTTGCATTCCTTTGTCATCACCCCATCATGACTTCTCATGTCCAACGTGAGCTGATTTACACAGAATTTTTTCTAAGAGAGGCATCTATGTAATGTCTCAGGTGATTCTTAGAACAATGTCAACCCCGTGATTATGACTGCAAACACCAAAAATCTCTCTCTCTAGTCAGGGGAAAAGGAATAAAATTAAGGTAAATGAAAAGCCCTCCAAAACATATCAAATCCACTAAATACAAAAGCCACTCTGATTCTTCAGCAGCAATCAGGGATCATCAATTGTCTTTTAAATCAGTATCTCTACACTAGATTACAGTGAAGAACTGAAGAAAAGGATT